CCATGTGATATGCCTGTACCCCCTCCACCTTCTGACATGATTGGAGACTTCCTGAGGTCTTTACCAGAAGCAAATGCCAGTGCCATGCTTCTTGTACAGCCTGCGGAACCATGAGACAAAGAAATCTCTTTTCTTTAATAATTACCCAGCCTCAGGTATTTCTTTATGGCAATACAAATGAACTAATATAGGCATGGAAGAAATTGAAGAAAACAAGGTCAAGAGAGTGGCCTGGGGCAGAATGTGAAAGCCAACCTGAAGAAAGGCAATGAGGAGCCTTTACTGATTCACTGGAAGTTTTGAAAAGTAACTTTGGCAGGAGGGGTAGGAAGGATTGGAAGGAGAAAGATTAAGACAGTGATTCTCAACAGGAATGGGAAATCTATAAGAATAACCTGAAAAGCTTTTGCAAAATACATAAGGCTGTTTCATCCTCCACTCTTCTGTCTCCTTCAACCACACTTCTGATGCGATATGGAGTTGTGGGAAGGTAAGCATTTTGAAAAATGCTTGCTAGGTGATACTGATAAATCCTTCCCTCTACCACTTCTTTAATTTAGCCAAGAGTTACTTAAGTAAGGCTGTGACAACAGAGATGATAAAGAATGGATTTGAGAGGCACATGAGTTGGAATTATATAGGATGGATTGGATGAGGGTGTAATGGAGAGGAAACATGACAAACAGGTGTTTAGTTTGAGTGACTGAGATACTATAAACTGAAATGAGCCCAAGAAGAGGAGTAGGCTTTCTGAACATAATTGTGGATTCTACTTGATACAGGTAGAATTTGAAGTCACTATAGGCAGTTGATAATATAAAGAACTGGAATTCAGGAGAGCTTAAAACCACAGATACCCAAGTCAATTGTGAAGCAATAGACAGTACCGTAGAAGTATTAAACAATGGCAACAGAAAACCAGAGGCAAGGGAGATCTGTATTGTCTGGAGCAGACAGATAAGTCTTCTTGGATAAGTGAAACTTGAGTTGCATCTGAAAGTATTAATAGCTTATTCAACTTTGAGAGATTAAAATTGGAGATCATTTGCCAAAAGGTATGGGCGAGAAAGAAAAATGCTGTTTCAAGAGGGCAGGATAGTAATCTGAATGACTTAATAATAAAAACTAATATACTTCCCTTTATTCTTCACTCCCAGCGGGAGCTATTATTATTCACAATTTATAGATGAAGAAATAGGTTCAGAGAGGTTAGATAAATGGTCTGAGTTATTCCAAATAGAGCAATGTCCTTGAATCTATAACCTTTAACTCCAGACTCTTGTTGTAATCCATAGATTGTGTGTCATTAAAGGCAGGGTTTATTTCTTAATTATTTTAATATCCCTCGTGGCTAGTATATAGCCTGAAAATAGACTCTAAGTCTCTAAGTACATATTTTTTGACGTAAACTGAAAATTATCAGTTCTTTTGTGCATCAATTTAAGTATTTATCATTTACACGTAAGACTAAACACAGAAGTGAAACATTGTAGGACTAGAAATTACCTTAAAGATCTTCAGATCCAACTGACTCACTTTATAGAGGAGGAAATTAAGGCCCAGATAAAGGAAGAGACTTACCTAAAATCTCACATGCAGTTATCAGCAAATCTGGAGCAAAACCTATGCCTCAACTTCTCAACCAGGACTTTTTTTGCATACCATTCAATCTAAGAGCACCACATTTACAAAGTGTGAGACTGTCCTCCCTCTTCTGAGCTCTCCAAAGTTAGATGGACACAAAAAACATAGAGAGGCATAAGAGGCAATTTGATAGATAAGAACCCTTGGACTATTTTTTTCAATCAGCAGTCTAATCATTGGATTGAATAAGAGAAGGCTGATATAAGAATCAGACACAGGAATTCTCGAGCAATTCATCTGAGAAAAGAACAACAACAATGGTTTGAAGGGAGGTAGTATATTTTTCAATGGATTCTAACAGCATACTATGGAGTTACCTTTGTTTGTCTTGCTATCTGTTAAATGTAAAACACAGTCTCAGCTACCTAAGGCAGATGAGAAGAAATACCATCCCTGGTCCCTGGTCCAGGGCCAACATACAGAACCCTGAAGGGCACTCACAAGCTGTGCAATTTGGAGGACTCCCACTACTCTGCTCTCCCAGGCTCCTCATCTGTAAATGAGAGAATTAGATTAGATTTATCTAGCTTTTGTTTCTCACTTCCTCTCTCAAATAAACCCCTGCCCAAAGATAATGAGCCTATTCCTACCAGCGAGTGAGGTGAAGAATTAACTTGAGGCTGTCTACACTGTCATGGATGATGGCTCCTAGAATTAACTTGATTCTTTTCTACACTAGCATAGTTGCTGGCTCCTAGGGTGGGCAGATTCTGGTCCTGCACCAACCCTGACTGGTGATCTTCTTGCTCTATCACCACCATGTGGATCTAGGTGGCTTCTTTGGTCCCTTCAGCTCAAGATGCTGGTTGATACTCAGTGAAACACCACTGTTCACAACAACAAACTGAGTGTGAGGAACTTGATCTTCTCACCAATTTCCTGCTAACTTGTCCTCCAAGTCTCAACTCAACTCTATCTTTTATAATTTACCATTCAATCTAAGAGCACCACATTTACAAAGTGTGAGACTGTCCTCCCTCTTCTGAGCTCTCCAAAGTTAGATGGACACAAAAAACATAGAGAGGCATAAGAGGCAATCTGCTTATCCTGTTCTGCCCTCGGTCTCCATCTTTTTTTAATGTCTTTTTTTTCTTTTAAAAATTTTCTTTTTTAAATGTAGCATACCATTAATGAAACAATTTTACATTAAGTTGAAACACTGACATTCATTTTTGGTGTACAGTTTCTATAAATTTAACGCATGTATAGATTGATATAATCATCACCACTAACAAAATACAGAACATATCCAAAACTCCAAAGAATTCTTTCATGCTATTTTTTTTATAGTTATACCTTCTATTCAGCCCCAATCTCTGGCAACTGCTGATCTGTTGAGAATGTCATCTAAATGGAATCATATGCGTGTAACTTCTGTTTTAAGAATGGCTTCCACCACTCAACATAATGCCTTTGAGATTCATCCCTGTTACTGTATGTATTCGTAATTTCTTCTTTTTTACCCCTGAGTAGTATTCCATTGTATGGATATACCATACTTGGTTTCTTCATTCACTGATTAAAAGACATCTGGATCGTTCCCAGTTTGGGGTGATTATAAATAGAACTGTTATTAATATTCACATACAGGTATTCAAAAAGTTTTTCTAGGGTGAATACCTAGAAATGGTTGACCCCTTAGTTTTGATTCCTTCTCACTTTTGAATCTAGGTTTGCCTCACCCCTGGACTAGTGATACTGAACCTATGCTGCTGCCTTGCCTTTTCCTCTGATGAGCAGTCCCTGTCTACCAGTTTTGGTTCCATCTCTTTCATCCCATCACTCTCTTCTTCCTGGCTGGGAGCTCCAAGCACATAGTAAAACCAAAGCCCATTTTAATTAGTCTAAATCTTTTTCAGCTGTAAATTTGCTATGATTTGGATTATTGCACCGGTATTGTAGTACCCTCTGCTGGCCGATTCGCAAAGATGGCTTTATGCCTGTGCTAGAGGAGAAACTGTAGGTACAATAGAAAAAAGAAAAATATGATGGGAGTGAGGAGGAAGAGCGGTGGCGAACTACCATTGTAGTGACAGCCTGACTGGGACACTCCATGTATTTGGTGCTACACATATAGATAAATGCTGCAATATTTTTGTGGAACCCTACAATATTGTGCTTGTCTTCTCAATTGTAGGCAAAGATGGGCTGTCTGGAAAGCTGGACTCAGCCTGGAGCATGTTCCCCAGATTGCTATTTTGTGAAGGCTTCCGCATACAAATGACTCAGATCCAAACATTCAAAAATGATCTTGGAGGGCCATCTGGTTCTTGCTGGTTCTAAAAGCTTCATTCAGCCTGGAATATGGATCCAGTACAAAAGATAGTGAGAGCTGTTCATTGAGGTTTAACATGTTCCACTGACCGAGGCTAGAAGCTGGCTTTTAAAAATAGCCAACACCGACGCTCCAAGGGCCAATTGCTGATGCTTGTCACAGGTCAGAGGAACTCTGATAAATATTTAATTGATGATGATGTGGTTGTATGGAGGTTTACACACATGCACGCACACACACACACACACACACACACAGAGCAACACAATTTTATATCATTAGAAAACACGTTAATTTGTTTGGGTGTCTGAAACAGTCTGGGAATTAGGCTGAACCAGCATGTCAGGCAGTGAGAAACCATGTAATTGTTGTGATGTGTCATTTTTAATTCGTGACGACAATACTGCCAACCTTACCATTTGGATCATGGTGCTGATGGATTTGCCATTTGCACTAGCTGGCTGCTGGCTTTTCTGATCAAATGGCTGCCTGTTCTGTGGCCAAGGGACAGGGAGTGTTTTCTATTTGGGAGGCTCATGAACTGCATGCGGATGGGAGACTACAATCTCAGTCTTAGTTTCTGGCTCTAACCAAGTTCAGACAGAGATGGGACATCTCATGATGGGGACACTGGGCATCAAGAGAATATGGATTGAAGACAGTCACCTCATTGGACAAAATGCATGAAGTGGCATTACTTGATTCACTTTTTGTTGCTATGGGCTTTGGCTGTCTCGCTGGAAAGTGGTGTGAGAAGAGGTGTGTGTGCTTTCTTCAGCTTATGCAGATGAAACCAAAATATATCCTGTATAATGACATTGTCATTCATTCTTTATGCTTTGTCATACTCTAGGATGTAAGATTATCAAATACAGGGATTGTATCTTGTTTATACATACCCCAAACCTCGCATAGTATCCAGCAAAGAAAAGACATAAAAGGAGAGGTTGTTAAATGCTCTGAGTAAAGGTGTGGCTTTTTAAAGGCACTGATAGATTGGATGACATCTATGAATGTTGGGGTCATGGGAAATTATTTTACCTGCATCTTAGATAATTGATCTTTCTGTATTCACTCCCAGTGAAGATCCTGGTGTTACACATCCAATTGTTCACCTCCTTCCAAGACTATGACATTCCAGGAAACCTCCAGTCCTAAGAGGAACTGATATCTACAGTATCTCCTCGAGGAAGTACAACCGGTAAGTCCTTACCAGTGAGTTTAACGTTTGTTTCTAAAATGTACCAAATAACAACAAAGATCCCCCATGCCTGGCGAAGAATACCCATGCCCCTGCCACATACCATGAAGCACAGCTTCTCAATGGTCAATGGCAAAAACTAATGTTTGTCTGTCCTAATGTGTATATTCTATAGAGATGGAAATGGCATTTAAAATGATTTTTGTTAATGGAAACATTTAGCACTATTGGTTTTATAAAGTTCTAGTGAGCTTTATGGTCTCCAAAAAAGACTAGCTAGGGCTCTGCAGTTTACCAGCTTCTTTCGACAAAGCTTCTTCTCTTCTACTCTCGGTATATCATATTATACTTTCAATGGAATCTGAAGATTTCTTTTTGAGTAGATTTCTATAGGGGTTCCACCTAATATCGTCCCTGGAGACCTATGCTGGCATCTGGTGAGTTTAATAATGGTGATTGTAGTACTTGTATATTTTTAAAATTTTGGTACAAAAATACATAACATAAAAATTACCATCTTAACCATTTTTAAGTGTATGTACAGTAGTTGTAAACTAATTCACACTGTTGTGCTAGCATCACCACTGTCCATCCACAAAACTCTTTTCATCTTGCAAAACTGAAATTCTGTACCTTTTAAAAATGTTTATCCATTACTCCATCATCTCAGCTCCTGGAAACCACCGTTCTATTTTCTATCTCTATGAATTTGAACTCTAGATACTTCATATAAGTGGATTCATACAATATTTGTTGTTTTGTGATTGGCTTATATAACTTAGCATAATGTCCTTTAGGTTCATCCATGTTATAGCTTGTGTCCAAACTTCCTTCTTGTTTAAGGTTGAATAATATTCCATTGTATATGTATACCACATTTTATTTATCCATTCATCCATCCATGGATACTTGGTTTGCTTCCATTTTTTAACTATTAAGAATAATACTGCTACAGATCTTTCTTTGAGTCCCTACTTTCGATTCCTTTGGGTACAAACTCAGAATTGGAATTGAGAGATCAAATGGTAAATATATTTTCAGTTTTTTGAAGTACCACTACACTAGTTTTCACAGCAGTGGCACCATTTTACATTCCAGTAAGAATTTTAACTTTTCCCATATCCTCATCAATACGTATTAGTTTCTGTGTTTTTTTTTTTAATGGTAGCCATCCTAGTAGGGGTTATAATAGGGGTAAAGTGATATCTCATTATGGTTTTGATTTGCACTTCTTTAATAGTTATGCTGGTTTTTTTTCTGTGCTTATTGGTTACTTGTGTATCTTTGGAGAAGTGTCTATTCAAGTCTTTACTCATTTTTGAATCAAGTTGTCTGGTTTTTTGTTGTTGAGTTTTGGTAGTGTTTTATATATTCTGGCTCCTTTATCAGATCTATGATTTGCAAATGTTCTCTTTCATCCAGTGAGTTGTCTTTTCACTCTGTTAATTTTGCCCTTTAGTCCACAAAAGCTTTGAACTTCGATGTAGTTTATCTACTTTGTCTTTTATTGCATGTGCTATTGATGTTATATCCAAGAAATCATTGCAAAATCCAGTGTCATGAAATTTTTCTCCTGTGTTTTCTTCTAAGAGTTTTATAGTTTTAGATCTTACATTTAGGTCTTGATCTGTTTTGTTTTACCCCACCCTAGACTGTGAATTTCTTGAGCAGAGAGACTGTGGCTTTTCATCATTGTATTCTAAGCACTTAGCATCTACCTGGCACATAGTAAGTGCTCAGTTAATTTTAGTTGTATGAAACAACTTCATCAGATATAATGGAAATAAACCAAAGATTATATTTTTAGTGATTCACTAGCTTATTAATAATTAATTATAGCAGTTTCAAAATTTTAAGTGCTTTGACAATCCACAAAGAAAGGTCTGAATTAAAAAGGCAATGCTGCTTTCAAAGCTTTGAAGAATTTTTTGGCATTTTATTTATTTACTTTTTCCTGAGGATGTTTAATGAAATATTTGGATATTTGTCATAATAATTGTGCTCTTTTGGACTTAAGTGCCTTTATCATGGGCTCTGTGCACAGTTAGCTCTGTGGGGAAAATAAAGATTTTTGCCAAAGAAGATTGTTTCTTTTATCCACTTGTGGGTCCCTGAAACTCTGGGCAAAGCATGAGGTGAAGAGCCGGCCATATTTGTTTCCTGTCTTTGGGTGAGTTATTCCACATCTCTGAGTCTCCCTTAATTTCTTCATTTAGAAAGCAAGAGGGGAAAATTAGAACCTGTACATGATTCCTTCTAGTTCTAAAATTATGAAATTTTAGCTGTTGGTGACAAGACAATTCTAACAGGAGTAGAAATTCAACTATTTCTGGGAACAAACAAAGACAAGGTTTACCGCAATCTGATCTCTCACAGAGAAACTTCCTACCACAAAAATAATCGGGATAGGTAGAGGGAAGGCTGTGGATCAGTCCTCAGAGTTATATTCCTGTTTTTGCTGTAAGTGCTCGTGAAGAAGGGGGTTTTGAAAATAAAATAAAATTACTATTATTGTTGTTGTTGTTCTTGAATCAGGGACAGCTCCACATTTTCAACCTCTCCCGAGTGAATTGTCTTATACATATATATACACACACACACACATATACACATATATACACACATATATACATATATACACACACACATATATATACACACACACACATATAACATAGATATACACACACATATATACACACACACATATATATACATATATATACACACACATATATATACACACACACACACACACACACATATATATATGTGGCACGACCAGTTTAAAAAATAAAAGAGCTCTTGGTATCATTACTAGTTAAAACTATTGAGGCCGGGCACGGTGGTTCATGCCTGTAATCCCAGCATTTTGAGAGGACGAAGCAGGTGGATCACTTGAGGTCAGGAGTTCGAGTCAGCCTGGCCACCATGGCCAAATCTCATCTATACTAAAAATACAAAAAAATTAGCTGGGTGTGGTGGTGTGTCCCTGTAATCCCGCTACTCGGGAGGCTGAGGCAGGAGAATCGCTTGAGCCTGGGAGGCAGGGGTTGTGGTGAGCTGAGATCGCACCACTGCACTCCAGTCTGGGCAACAGAGTGAGACCCTGTCTCAAAACAAACAACAACAACAAAAATGAGTACCACCCCCTACCAGTCCCACCCATACTCCATATGCCCCACATGTTTTGTGAGCCAGTTTCAACCATGTTTGAGAGACAGTTACAACTACCATCTCCCTGATGGACACCTCTGCAAGGAGCGGCCTGTGGTATACTGGTATCTGATTCTGGGGTCTCTCTTCTACTATGGCCATTATTGGATCATTCTGAGACTGGGTATTAGGCCATCTTTACGGTGCCAATTAAACAGCAAGTTTTGGCAGGGGCATCAGGGAGATCTGTGTTCTGACCTCTGCTCTTTCTGTCTATGTGAAGTTTGGGTACGTGACTTATCCTGCTGAGAATGGGTTTCTACAAGTCCAAAATCGTAAGGATTTTATCTCTTGTTTTATATGACAGAGATATATAAAATATTATAGAAATATATTTTATATCTATAATATATAAAAATTACATATAATATATAAAAATATATTACATATGTAAAATATATGTATTATATATCTATAATATATAATTGATCTATGACATATATATGAGATAAATAATTGATACCTGTGACTTATGATATAAATGATATTAATTGATATGTATCAATTATATATCATACAATGTATCTCTTATATATCATATAATATAATTATATATCATATATAACTTTCAATCTGTTTCATCATTGAATGTAATAGTAACACTGATATATATCAATTATATATCATATTATATATCAATTATATAATATACATTGTAGATATATAAAATATATAATACATCATTTTATGTAATATATAGTAGATGTATAATATCTATCTGTATTGATTATATATATGATTGGATTGCTGAAAGAAGGGGAAAAGCAGAAGGTACTAATTTTTCTTTAGCGTCTTCTATGTGCTAGTTACTATGCCAGGTGTTTACATAAGTTATCCTGTTAATGCTCAAACTGCTCTGTGAAGGAGCCATTGCTGGGCTCATCTTAGGGTGGGATGATTGATGCTCAGAGAGGTTAAGTGACTGATTTAAAGTAACACAGCAGATACATAGAAGAATCAGAATTTCAATGCATATTTGATTGGCTGGATGTAACACCACTGATCTTTCTTGCACATCCATATACTTTGACACAGTACAAAGCTGATATATTCTACACTCATGGGGACCTACTTCCCCCTCCTCCCATGGCTGAAATTGCTAATTTGCTTTCTTCTTTTGGAGTTTCTGAGAGAGCTCTCAACCTTTGAGTCTTCTGGTTTTTACCTTTGCTGAAGAACAAATAACACCTATTTTTCCCAGAACTTATGTTTTCTAGAGAAAAATGCAGCTTTTGGTCTAATATGGGAGGCAGACAATTGCTCCAAAGACAAATATTCAAACATAAGGAAAGCTTCATTTGTGATCTTGCCTTGAAGTCATTTTTCTCCCTCTTTTCCTTTTTTAAAATTTACTCTCTAAAAACTTATTCTCTTTGGGGCCCTGGTAAGTATGATAGTGTCCAGATTCCCAGTCTGGGGCCCTGGATTCACAAAAGGCCAAGTTGACGTTCGTTCTGCATCTGGCTTATTTGATGCCAGAGGAGCACCGAGGTCTCCTGAGAGAACCAGGAGAGATTTGCCTCCTGCAGAGGTTCGGATAAGCCCCAGCTAATCTCCGTGGCTTCTTAAGGGCACACCTGCTTGTCTGCCAGCCAGCAGCCTCCTCGTTCATTTCCCGTGGGATGGCTGGGGTCAGAGGGCCTCCAGAAAGCCTTTTATCTTCCCCCGCCCTACCAGGCCCCCCTCAGCAGCACCTGGGTCCACACTTAAGACTTCCTTTGAGGAGAGGTCGAGACGTTGTCCCTCCCAGAATGGGGGCCGGTGCCCTTTTCCTTCCCTTTGAG